TTTGCTGCTGCAGCGCTGCCCGCGGCTGTTGTTGATGCTGGTGCTTTGGTTGACTGCGAACATGCTTACGCAGACACGAATATACGAGCATATACATAAATGCACTCACTCGCAATTGCTTTGTATATGTGCAATTATACACCCTTTACGTGAGTTCTAATACCAAAATGAAATTTTTATACTCTGTACATAAAATGTACAAGAGTATATAAGGTTTGCGGGAGCTGAAAGTATAACAGGCAGAAGGAGGCGTGGCAGACCTTATCAAGTATATATATTCTTGATCAGCATGACGAGACGAACACCTGGATCTCAGAGACTATAAGAGGTAGAGACACCAAACTTTGCACAAAGATGCGTTATGTATGTACGCTGTGCAAGTTTGTTTTATTTTTTTGATTCCCCTCCCCCCCCCCCCCCACTTCTCCACTATGGGGGATTTCCCGATTTTCCATTCGTATAATCGCCTATATCTCAGAGAGATATTATTATTTCTATGTAAATGTGCACTTATATACACTTTACGTGAGTTCGAATACCGTGAGAGGTAAAATCGATCAACATATTTTTTTAAATTTTATAAATTTTTATAATTATTCTTAATATATATACAGAGTATTTCAAAGTAGGGACACCCGGCTATAGCTTCCCTACTTGTTTTGTTAGTGATACTAAGAATATTCTTGTATGTGATTTAATTTACTTTACGTATTTATATTACGTATTACGAATTTAACCCACATTTGACTGAACAAATCGTGTACTTTAGGGATTTTAGGTACATTAATCTTGAACTAATATGTAGTGCAATTGACTTATGTAACTAGAACACCATATATTCACTGACGGGCGTAAATTCTCAATTAAGACAACTGTCCATCCTTTCATAGTGTAGATGCCCACTAAGAAGGGATTTTTGCAAAATTCGAGCTCCAAAGGGGGGAAAACAGGCTCCAACGTTTGTATGAAAAATCTACAATTTTCATCTGTTTAACTTTAAACTTAGTTTGTATACTCTCAGAAAAATTCCAAGAAAAACTACTATACTTTTGGGGACTGAAATATGGGAGTTTTCCTGTAAAAAAATGGGGCACAAAAGGAAAACGCGTCAACAGCCCACAGCCCAAACGGCAAGAGCTATGAAGCTGAAATTTGGGCTCAAGGATCCTATAATAGTGAAGGTGCCCACTAAGAAGGTATTTTGGAAAATTCAAGCTTCAAAGGGGGGAAAACAAGCTCCAAAGTGTGTATGAAAATTCTGCATTTCTGCACCGATCAACTTTAAATTTGATTTTTATAATCTATAAAAGAATACAAACAAAACTGCATACTCGGATTTTCGAAATTTGTGGTGGAGCTTGAATATTTGGGTTTTTAATATTTATTCACCTTTTCAAATGAAAAGCTTGTGTTATAAATTTTTTCCGATCGATTTCAAATTTGGGGACTGTAATCTACGTAACTAAATCTATAACTTTGCCTTCAAGGATTTTCAAAATATGCATTCTACAAATGCAGGCAGAACAAACAATACAAAATATCAAACAGTTGGGCATAACTAGGTATACATACACACACACACACATATATATACAAGCAGCTGTTCGTGTAGTTGCATGCAAACGATTGAAATAGCCAAAGCAAAATGTGAGACACTAATTTGTGAATGTACACACATACATATGTACACATCTATGTACATGTACACATCTATGTATGTATGTATGTTCATTCGTCTTGCACTGACAGAGCAAGAAATGTTAATTAATTAAAAATTATTTAACATTTTTAAAAGTAATTTTTTCTTTGTTTAGTACATTTGGCATTAGGGTTTTCATTAGTAACTTTATGCAGCAACAACAAATTACAAAGAACGCAAATATCAAATAGTTGGGGACATCATATACACACACTCACACACAGAACAAGCAACAGTTCGTGTCTATGTATGAAAAAGTATAGAGAAATATGCATGCATATGTACATGCGTATGTACATATGTATGCCTGTGTACGTACATATATAGCATGTATGTACATTCGTATGTATGTATACATTGGACAATCGAGCACTGTTGTTTGATTGTAATAAATAATGTTCTATGGTTTTAAATCAAATTTTTAAAACGAAAAACAACAACAACTGCAAGTCATTGGCTCGCGCATCTTCTTTCGTTTTGATCATTTACGCCTGTTAATTTTAAAGGCAAAATGTCAAAAGCTTACAGTTACCGTCGCTAGGCAACGACTGCGTAAGCGATAGTAAAGCCGAAACCGAAAGCGGACCTACGCATATTCTGCTTCGCGTTGCGGGCAGATGTACATATGTACAGGGTTCGCCATCTCTTATGTCGGTATGTAAACATTGAATATCTTTGAATATAAACAACCGATTTTCAAGTATAAGATATTTTTATTTAATTTGGTTCTGTACAATTTCTTGAACTGAGGTTTTTAACACTGGTCTACTCAAGTCAATCGGTTCACTAAAGACAAAGTTATTCAATATTTACATACCGACATAAAAGATGGCGCACCCTGTATGTTTTTATATGATTTGTTCTAATTGATCTCAATAAATTATAAGATGTTATTATTTAAATTTTCTGTTAATTGCGTTCAAACTTCGATGGAATTATTGATTGTATCGACGGATTCAACTATGGATAGTTTTGATGCTCTAGCACATAGAGCATCCGACACATGCCCATCTCTAGCACCTCAGCTGATCGCATATCTACAGCGACTTATGATTTTAGTGTTAGCTAACAACGCTACAAATATACTCTGAACAAATCTAAGAGTCATTTATCGTTAAGCCTATTTTGTGAGTTTATTCATGCGATTTACAAAAGCAGAAACATACCTTCACAACAATCATATTTGGAATTGAAGACACAAATTAGTGTTGAATTAAAAAATTTAATACATACTTATATATGTATGTATGTATAAAAGCGGATAACGCCTGCATGTAAAATTTAAATGTATGTACATATCATCGTTGCCGAACGCACCAATGTTGGCGGGACGTCCCGATTTATAAATCAAAATTAAATGTCCAGCGTCGGACTTTTCGGGGATAACTCGACCGTGCGTACAACATGCTGAGAAAGCACACAGTTAAGTCAGGACTGGCATTCCGCCCGGTGCGTAACGAAGATATGTACATATGTATGTATGTACGTATAACCATACATAGTACTTATTGTATTATATTTGCTATTTCGAAAATGAACTCTTTAAAAAACTTTAGAGAGCGTCGAAAGAAGTTTGTCCATTTTGTATAAATCCATCAAGAACATTTGAAGAAAACTCCCAAAGGTTAGTGGAGGTTGAACGGGATTTAATAAAACCATGTTGCGAATCAGAGAAAATCGACTTTCAATGATGTATCTGAGATGCAATCATTTTTCGAACATTTTTGGTATAGACGATAATTTAATTTGCAAGGATTTTTAGCATTAGATTTTTAGTCTTTATAGCATTCAGTGTTTACTAAATTAAATTTTGACCTAACGATAGAATATTGAGAAAAGACTAAATTTGACCCAAATTTTTTCAATTTTTTATGGCGAATCAAATTAATAAATACCTAGCCCAACATTCATTGCTGTGCAATAAACAATCTGGTTTTCGAAAATTTAGAAGTTATACTACTGCCATTCTAGATGTTACAAAAAATATTAGAGAGCAACTTGACGATAGTAATGTTACATTGTTGACGCTTCTACCACAATATCCTAATTATGTTTACAATAATTAAGAAAATAAAAAAAATTAAGAAAATTAAAAAAAAAAATGTGTTCGAATTTACCTTTCTCGGTATTCGAACTCACGTAAAGGGTGTATAATTGCACATTTACATAGCAATTGCAGTTGTGTGAGTGTATGTATGCCTATGCGCATCTATTCGTGTCTGTGTAAACATGTGTGCAGTCAACCAAAGCACCAGCATCAACAACAGCCGGGCAGCACTTGAGCAGCGCTGCAGCAGCAAATATATTTATGACTATAACTTCTTGTTAAATCGGTCTATCATAGTGAAACTTGGCATACGGACACATAATAACCAACTGGGGGTATTTAGTATTTAATTTTAGTTCGAAATTCCAAGAATTACGGGAGTTAGAGAAAATCGCATTTGCGGGGGAGAAGGGGGAGGGAGGGAAATTCCAAAATACAAATTTTCTGCGTATTCACATAAGGCATCTGGGACTAATTTGGTGTTCTTAGGTCTTATAGTCTCCGAGATATAGGCGATTATACGAATGGAAAATCGGGAAAACCCCCATAGGGGGGAAATCAAAAAAATAAATCAAACAGCGTACACACATAACGCATCTTTGTGCAACATTTGGTGTTTTTAGCTCTTATAGTCTCTGAGATCCAGATGTTCATACGTATGAAAAAAATGTTGATACAAAAGTTTTAGAGAATTTTATACTCTACAACTTTGTAATAGGTGCTAATCTCATCCAAGGCATAGGAAGCGAGATATACGATTTCCGTGACATTTGACCTTGAATATCTTAAGACGTGGCCACGATATTAAATGTGACTTTTGAGACAACATATATAACACCATAACTAAGGTGTATACATTTTTTCAGCTTATTATCTCAAATTCCGAGGTTGACCCCTTTTTTTGGCTAAGATGACTGGGCTATATGTTAATGTGCAGTTATACACCCTTTACGTGAGTTCGAATACCCAAAGAGGTATAATCGGCCAAAAAAATTGCTTGTAATATTACTATTTCGTTCCTTTTTTCAAATTTTTTCATTTTTTTACATTTATATTATTCTACATACATACATGTTCAGAGTATTTTAAAGTCGGACAGAAGCATGAAAAACAAAAAATTTCAAAGTTATAAATTTTAATAATTGTCCAACCTAGAACAGAATTTAAATAATTTAAACATTCCCTGCTTTCGTTATTAGCAAAATAATTTGCTATTGTATTTTGTATTTATTACATACATTTATTTATTTTCAGGATTTGGAGCCATTGATCGACAATGGAAAATTATCGACAATAGTAGAAATGAAATTTATATTGCTGGAACAAAAATATTTGGAGCATTTGGACGATGGCAATCCTTTAGACGCACTAAATGTACTACGCAGTGAGCTTACGCCTTTACAACATAACATAGCACGTGTGCATCAGTTGTCGTCGTATATGATGTGTTCTACCAACCACGACCTTTATCATCGCGCTAAGTGGGAGGGCAAAGGCTTTTCATCTCGGGCATCGGTCATGGAACGGCTACAAACATTTATGCCTCCCTCTGTAATGATGTCACCACGGCGATTGCGTACGCTTCTGCAACAAGCAATTGAGTTGCAAAGCCAGCATTGCCCTTGCCACGACATGGCATGGGAAACAAATCTTCAGACCGTATCATTGCTGACGGATCATTGCTGTACCATGGACGGTTTCCCAATGCAGACTATTCAAATATTAACTGATCATTGCGACGAAGTTTGGTTCTGTAAGTTTTCGCCTGACGGGCTTAAACTAGCTACTGGTAGCAAAGACTCTACAGTAATCATCTGGGATGTGGATCCATATAAGCTTACGTTAAAACACCGACGTGTAATCGATAGCCAGGCGCAGTTGAGTGTTAGCTTTGTCAGTTGGAGCCCTGACTCAAAATTAATTTTAGTGGGTGGCACAGAGGACTCCCCTGATATTTTTATATGGAATGTAGATGATGGAAAACTGGTTGTGAAATTCTCGCAATCAATGGAAGATAGCCTAGCCTGCGGTGCTTTCAGTCGCGATGGTACTAGATTTGTCTGTGGAGGACAAAAAGGACAATTTTATTTGTGCGATTTAACAGGTGCTATCGTGGACTCCTGGGAAGGTGTGCGGGTCAATAGCGTTGCATTTCGCGCCGATAACAAGACTATTTTAGCTGCAGATAATCACTATCGTATAAGAGGGTAAGTGGAATTTATAGTTAGAACTTTTTTGCGATAAACTATGTTTCCGTTTTAGATACCATTTTGACAACCCACGTTCAGACTACGATATCTTAAAGGAACCGCATCCAATTATGACCTTTAGTATAAATTCAGCTGATCGCTTGGCGTTGCTAAATATTTCTAATCAAGGCTTGCATCTCTGGGATATCGAGGATAAAAGCTTGATACGCCGTTTCCAGGGGATACGTCAAAGCAATTTCGCAATTCATTCCTGCTTTGGTGGCGTTAATGAAAGCTTTATTGCAAGTGGAAGCGAGGATAAGATTGTTTGCATTTGGCACATAAAGCGGGAAGAACCACTAGCAAAATTGGCGGGCCACACTAAAACAGTAAACTGTGTATCCTGGAATCCAATTTATCCGTCCCTGCTAGCTAGCGCAAGTGACGATGCAACTGTGCGCATTTGGGGACCGAATCCCTCTACCAGTAATACAACAACGGAGAGCGAAGACTGCTCATCAAGTTCATCGTCATCATCGTGGAATATGGCGTAAACTGATACTGAACTTGCGTTAATTTGATAATATGTACTTTTAAGCAACATTAAAGTCTATTTAGATGAAGTGCTTTTCCCTATATAGACGCGAAAGTATATTTTTGAAAAGCACAATCTATCAACTGAAAATTTCAGAATAAAGTTATATATTTCAAAACGAAATATTTAGCTTCATGCGGAACCATATACATATGTTCAAGAAAAAATAATGTAGCGGAAAGCAATGAGTTTTTCTGAAATAATCTTTGGATGGGCTGTAAGTAGCTGTCCCTTAGAGTTATAAATTAAATAAATGATACAAAAATATAATGCGGATCGTGTCGTAAAGCTACTGCTTAAGGTATAACTTACTCAAAACATCATTTTATTTTAATATCATAGTGTAAAAATCAATGTCATTTTTAGCTTTTGATAAATTTGATGAAACGTGGTTTTTGCTTCTAATAAAATCACGTCATGCTCTTTATTGTGCAATTATAATATTACTGAATAGCAAGCTGTTTTTAATTTTTTTTGTTATGCTTTAAAACATCTGTGTATGACCTTGCAGACAGACTCTACATAGAGACGAGTTGATGAAATGAGTCAATATAGCAATTTTATATATCAATTTGTATAACACCCACTCTTAAGAAGAGATGATTTATCATGTTTTATAATATAGCAAATGAAGAAGCTAAATTGGGATGTCCTAACTTTAAAATACTCTATACATTTGTGTATAATACAAATACATAATAATAGAAATGAAAATAATTGAAAAAACGAGAACGAGGGAAACACCCTGCACCCAGACAAACTTTAATCGCTTAGTTTTATGCGCCCATAGCAGAAACAAAAAGAAGAAAAGCAAACTTGATGCTGCAGTTTGTGGGCGTAGTACTGGAGTGAAGTTGTTTCGCTAATAACATTTCATATAATTGACCGATTTGGATGAAATTTAAAACAAAAGTAGATAATCGGATATAGATAACGTGTGCAAACGTGTATAACTGCACATTTAAAAAGGCGTTTTATCTATGGGAGTATGTGAGTGTCTGTGGAAAGCAGTAACAACAACAACAGCTGCTGTCATTATGACTATAACTTGGAAATTAGCATAACAGAGTTAAAAATTTGGTATGCAGACACGTAATCACTAATTGGAAATATTTGCTCAATTTGGGTCAAAAATTCCAAGAATTACGGGAATTATAGAAAATCGCTAATTGCTGTAGAGCGGGAGTTAAAAAATTGTAAAATACACTTTTTCTACGTATTCAAGAGCATCTTGGACTAAAATTTGTGTCCTAGGTGTTATAGTCCAGAGCGTAGCGTATACATATAGGCAAGGGCGTACGCAACGGCCCCCCCTACAAAAAATTTTTCCATATAAAGTCGACCACACGTTCATTATTATGACGCACTATTTCGCCTTAAGATGGATCTGCGTTGGATTTGTTGAAGTTTTTTCATCGATCATATGCATAAATTATTTTTTAAAAGCATCGGGTATTATTTAATCAAAATTTTAATTTTTTGGCCCCCCCTTTGGTAAAAGCTACGCCCTTGCATATAGGGCATTTGTATAAATTAAGAAGTTCCTGACGTTGGTGATTATTATGCTCGACCGACTAAGGAGTTATCATTCAATTAACACAGTGCACTGTTGCACTAATAAAACACAAGAGCTCGTGTATTCCGAACGGTTTAATATCCAAAAGTCACCTAACTGCTAAGAACATTATTTCTTATAACTAAAGCTAGCCCTGTACCTCAAACATGCTGACACCGCGCCTCGTGCATGGTGTCTCATATCAGCTGCTTGCATCACAGAGCGTTGCACTCTGCCACGACGGTTTTCGGTGTGCAATATCCGCATACATTGCTGATCTTGCACTATTATCACGCCAGCTCTGCTGTGTCGATTTGGCAACTTCTTTGTTGCTGAGTGGTCGTGTTAACTCCTCCCACACTTAAGTGAAGGACGTCCTCGGACTTCTTATAACCATCAATGACCGCCAGGATGTCCTGTTGACTTCGAAACGCCTGACGCTTCTTGTAGAATTTGAAAGAGGCGTAGCAGCAAACCAAAAGGACAGTCATAGTCAATCCAGATATTATAGGTTGCTTTATCAATTCCTTCTCGATTTTGCCGATGTAATGCGCGTTTTCGAGATTCAGCCTTTGCAGGTATGGTAGGCTTAATATCTCCTGGTGGGCCGTTATGTTGACCAGCGTTGACGCTGCTGGGCCAGGAGACTTGTTCACATAACTCTTGAGGTTACGGTATAAAGAACCATTCAACAAGACATCTTCGTCGAAGGTAAGGAGGAACGTGCCGGTCACAATTTGCACTTCGTTATCACTAGTCGTGATAGCCGCTGTTTCGTCGTTGATGATGATGACGCCGTCGTCGATGACCGTGAATGGCCCGAGATGGCTGGGTCGAGTGGTGCAATGGGCCGTGCCGCCAGAGTGTAGTTGTTGAGCGCACGTAGCATAGGGCAATCTTCTACAGAAAGTTGTTGTGAGCGCAGCGCTGCAGTTTCCGATTGGAAATATCTCGTTCCCGCAATCAGCTATGATGTTTTCGTCAGCTATGTTAAGGATGGTGTTATTGTGTTGTACAGGGTACAAGAGAATCTTCTTACATATTAAACTTGGCTTAGGATATTTAATTAGAAAATGTAAAAAATCATTACTTAGCATAACTCTGATTTGTGCCACTTCCATCAAGTCAGTAATTGTAATGTTCGTAGAACGCTCATTGATTATGTTATTTAAATCGTTAGTGTCTAATATTGCTGGGTTAATAATTCCAATCTTTGTGAGTGTAACAGATAACATTAAAGTTTCAAGTTCCGAAATTAATATTCTATTTCTTGAGAGCAAAGTTTCGTATAAGTGTTCCGTGTTTATATGGCTATTCTTTGAATTCTTTATTAGCATGTTTACTGTGTCTGTTAACTTGTTTAGCTGTTGTTGCGTTTTTGTATTAATATTTACCTGCCTATTTGCAAATTCAATGAGCTCCTGTTGCGTCAGTTTCAATTTTTCAAAGTCGTCAAAATCTGGAGTCCCAGCTACTACCTTTAAAACAGTGCCTAACATATTAATGCTTCTGGCATGCCGGTGGTGAATGTCTATTGTAGCTAGGAGTGTTCTCGTGTGCCGTATGTCCGAGTCTAGTATCTGTCTCATGTGTGATTGAGGAAAATGGTTCCTCAACTTCTCTGTTTCGCCCATCATTTCCGCGTACATTGTCAGATTAGTCGAGTGTTTTAAATATTGGAAATCTTTCCAAATTGTCGTGTCCCCGTCCATGATTGGTATGTAGTCCGCGTTCGAGTAGTCAGTCAGTTTAGCGTTTGTCATCGTGACGAGAAGTAGCATAGTCCAGATCCTAAGTAAGAAAGGAAACCCATATTATAGTCACCTTATATTATCCTTATGAACCACCCTCCCTTTAATCAAGACTGTGGTCCCCAAGTCTGCTTCTACCGTTTCTTCGTTGTATAAGGATGTTAGTTTATTTCCCAGTCTCTTATTTGATCTTACGAGGACTCTGTCTCCCACCTGGAAATTTCTATTTTGTCTTACTTCATTTAACCTTTGCATCTGTATATTCTGTGCTTTAAGGACCTTATCTCTTATCTCTGCGTCAAGCTCCGGAGGAGAAGAATGAATCACATCAATAGGTCGTTTGTCGGTAACTGAATGTATTGTCCGGTTGTATTCTATAGTTGCCTGAAGTATTAGTTCGGTTGTATCGGCAATATTTCTCCCAGCTCTCAGACATCTTGCGATTTCAACAAGAGTACTATGGAATCTCTCTACCTGTCCATTCGAAGTGCTATGAAGCGGTGGTGCGTTTACAACCTGAACGTTAAATCGATTATTTAGAAGTGATCTTATTGTTTCTGATTTTATGGAGGGTTCATTATCGCAATATATTGTTTTAGTGTACTTGTAGAAGTTCATGAGCTGCAAGATCGCCGGTTGTATGTCTATTATTGTTCTGGAGGCGATAGGTTGGACAATCGAAAACTTTGAAAGCTTGTCTATACAAGTAAGGAAGTACTTCTTGTCAGTTGAAAATATGTCAACGTGCAATATCTCGCCCACACGCAACGGAATAGGTGTCTCCCCAAGTACTTGCTTCTGAGGGTGCCGATCATACTTCTCTCTTTGACAAATTCTGCAATTTGCAACCACCTCGTTTGCAAGTTGGGTCATCTTGGGAAAAAAATAATCCTGGAGAATCTGCTTCACGTTTTCCTGAGCGGCCCTATGAGCTCTATTGTGCTCTGTGACAACTATTTCTTTCTGTTCGCCCTTATTCAAAATATCGGTTACCATGTGTTTTGCATAACGGAATGTCGTCGTGGGATAAGTTTCTATCAGTTTATGCTGAATGAACGCCAGTATTGGTAGTTCACAGAAAATCGCGTTAACTACGTCCTTCTTGACCACGTCACATACCCTCTGAATTAACGTTTCTCTACTTGAGAAATGTATGAGGTGACGAGTTTTTTCACCAAACATAATAACAGTCTTATCTGAGGCAGATCCACTTTCTTCTATCACTATTTGATTCCGAAAGCAGTTGACTGGTTTGTCTGTTGATTCAACAGTGTAGGTGAGTGACAACTCGCTATGTATCGTTGCAATATCGGACTGCGCTTCCTCTTCCAAAGCGTGGATGCCCTGTCTCGACAGTGCATCTGCAACGTAATTCTCTTTCCCTGGCTTGTAAAATATTTGAGCATTATGCTCATCAATGTAAGCTTTCCATCGCTTAATCTTTGCGTTAGGGTTGCGGTCAGAGACCGCGAATGTCAGGGGCTGGTGGTCAGTAAAAATATTTAGATTCTTCACTCCGTACAAGTAATTTCTGAGGTTCTTCAGAGCCCATACTATAGCCAGCAACTCCCTTTCATTTGTGGCGAAATTCAGCTCCCTATCCTTTAAAGTCCTAGATATCATAGTTATGGGTTTTCCATCCTGAGACAAGACTGCCCCCAAACCAAAGGACGAAGCGTCGGTTGTTAGGTCAAACGGCTTCTTATAATCGGGATAGAGTAGCATTACGTTCTCCGATGCGAGAACCTCTTTAAGCTTACTGAATGCCTCACATTGTTTTTGATCGAAATCCACTGGTATTTTCTTTGACTGGCCAGCGCTAACTTTTCCATTTTCTCCCTTTAGGATGTTACTCAAAGGTCTCGCTATTGATGCGAAGTCCTTAATGAAGCATCTGTAATAACTTGCCAGTCCAAGAAAGGATCTGACATTGAACAGCGTGGTTGGCTGCTCGTAGTTACGGA